AACCTTGAGGCCTTAGTTCAAAACGTCAGAACTTAGCATGTTAGCATAACATGAAATAATTGTCTAAACATACATTTTCTGCAGCACCTGGAAATGAATCAAAAGGAACAGCCATTTCTGGGCTGCTGTATTTAATTCAACGCGAAATTCTCATAACGCTTATTCCAGTGTTTGTCTCCTTCAACAGAGAGGCAAGGCTCATAAAAATAAATCCAGCATTGCTTTCATTGTGATTACAAACAAGCCATCTTTGCCTGGAACAATGAAACCTGGGTGAAATGTTAGGACAGTTGTGCTGACACAGTTCAAAGCAGGAGGCTGCCATATATAGCACCAAGCTATAATGGCAAAGAGGCTTTTTGCTTTAAATTGAAATGCAAAGGAGGCCCCAAGCCAAAGGACAGAACTTTTTGAGAGCATCCACTTGCTAAGCAGAAGGACAGTGCCGATTTGGGAAGGGATGGGTGGGGGAGGGGAGGGAAGGGGTCTGAGTGCATAGGATGCTCTGCTGCTATACTGACTTCATACCACAACCAATGTATTAGAGATGCTCTTGAACCTGGTGCTAGTTTCTCCAAGCTTCACTGTCCTGATTCTTCCCATCTCCATCTGATCCAGTTATGGTCTTCAGGTGATCTCTATTGGATTTTTAAAGCCACAACTTTATGAATTGTAACATCATACTTTTCCTGAAAACTCAGTGGTTACGTTCTGCAGTAAGTTACTGTATTATTTCACATCATTCTGACTCTTCAGCGTTTTGTTCTGTAAATATCACACACAACCCATTCCTCCATTTGAATCAGAAAGTCCACGGTACTCATACAATGGAGTACCAAGACAGTCTACAACGGCTTTACAAATCATGTATTTATGCACCCACTTATTAATTTGACTTACTAATGTAAATTGATCATAGACTTGCATCAAGTCCTCCATTTTGTACTGTTCTAGCACCACAAAATTTTCCAGGTTCGTGCTTATCTTTCGCGCACAGTCTTGGCAATGGACAACGTACGTCTTTCGAGAATTGCTCTCACTAGTGACAAAAAGCAGATCAAAGACCTCCACCTGTTAGACAGGAACCAGAAAGTCAACTGTTACCATTTTATTTGTTAAAAGTTGAATCACAAAACCTGTATTTGCTTCAAGAATTATAACCTTACCATATTCAAGTAAAGAGGAAAAAAATAGATTTGTTCTGGGAAAATCTACCCTCCTATCGCTTGGACAGAGAAGTGCAATACTGTAAGACCACTAATACTACATGTAGGATATCTGCATGAATGGTGATATGGGAAAGCTTTTGGTCAATACTGACAAAGCAGGATTCATACTCTGAACAGGGGTTACTCAGTAAGGTCGGGATTTCTAACAACTATACCCAATTTCCCTTTTTAAATGTCTGCAGAAGAAGTTAGCAATTTATTTCCTTACTGCTCAGTCACATGCTCATCCTGCCCAAGAAGCTCAATCACAAGATAACGAGAAACTGATTGCTAGGGGGGAAGGAAAAATTTATTTTCTTTTAAGCTTTATGAAAACTATTATCCAATACTTTAAAGGAACTATTAACAGAAAGTAGAATCAAAAATTTCAGGTAAAAGTTATGTCCTGTGAATACAAGTTACTTAAATTCTCCCTCTTTTGGTGCTGCTGTTGACTTCTGAAATGAAGACAGATATACCTTTAAAATGAAGCTCAGCAGATCAAATTATATGCGGGAAGGGATAATAACTTTTTATAATAACTGAGAATTGAAAATCGACCTAGTGAATAACCATGTTGTGGAAGTACTGTGGAAGAGACTGCAGCAAAATACAGCCTATATCTAGAAAAACAGCTTGATAAGCTCTTTGAAGACAGTACCACATCACATATGTGTGCTTATAAAACATAGTAGATGCTGCAACCTAAAAGCAAAATTAGAATAGCAACAACAACAAAAGACATGACAAAATATAAATATTATAGTAATACCCAATACATATTTTTACTGACCTCACAAATGCTACAGTAATGAGCTGGCTCGTCCTTTGCTCGCCCATGCCAGACAATCTCTTTTCCTGCAGCAATCAGAGCTTCCCTCAGCATCTGACACTGTTTGAGAGTTCTCAACAGACAGTACCTGCAACCAAAATCAGTTGTATATTCAGTTTAATATTAATCTTTACAGCATGATTCAAGTAGGCTTAAATTTCTTTCAGCACTCTGCATCTGGAACTTCCTCTTCCTCCAGGACTTCAGAGGCAGCTGGCTGGTAAGAATCACTGGACTCATGACTTCAGTAGAAGTTAAACCACATGCTCATGGACCTTTGTGTAGATATATTCCATTTCAGTATAGCCCCTTGCCCTACAAACAGGCTGTATAGCTTTCATTTTTGACTGGAACACATGAATGCTCTTTTGAGTACAGTAAAACAATATGCTTTCAAAAGCAATTAATGTGTTTTATTTTTAACTACGAATTTATAAGCAAAAAGTTAGTTTGAACTGCCAAGTTCTAAAAAACTGTTCATATTTTGTGTAGATGACTGTAGCCCAATCCAAAGAACAGTTTTAACTAACATCCTAGGAGCCTTGTTACTTCCTCAGCACCACTAAACTTCCAGTTATCCAAAGTCTGAAAACCCATGTTCTGACTGGAATCACTCTATGCACAGCATAAATAAAATCTATCAACATGTATCTTCTTTATGTAAAAGGGAAGCAAACAGGTTTGTATTAAAAAAGGAAGTCTCTTCATAGGAAAAAAAAAAATTAACATTGAAAAACCCACTTTTTTTACAAATGAAGGCAAGAACTGGGCAAATGTCAAATTAAAATCAACAACTTCCTGCCATATTTCTTTAAAATATAAAAAATTATATCATGCTATCTTCACAATTTTATACAGTTCTCTTCTGTACTAGAAAAATCTAACTTGTTTTCTAGCCTTGTATGAGCTATATACATTCTCTAAAAATAAGTTGGCAAAACAGGTCACCAGATTTCTAAATTACAATATTATTTACAATAATTTTTAGCTCTCAGCTATCCTATTTATTTGAGCTGCAGCCTTTGCAGCCTTTAAATTTCTCCTCCACAGGGTGGTTATGTTACAAGCTTATTAGATGCAGAAGGAAGACTGAAAAAACGTAAGGGGAAGAATAAACATTGGACAGAAAACAAAGCGCTCCAGAGTGCTATCAAAATGTTTCCAACTTGATCTTGCTCCCATTTTAAAGCCTGAAACATGTAATATAGACAGGTTGGGTTTTTTTTTTTAAACGCTTCTTTCATGTGTTTCCAAGCAGTTAATAGAATCTCAGGCTTACTTTACGATACTCTCCTCTTGATGTTTTACACTCAGACTGTCCATCTTCACTAAAAACAAGTCTATGGCTTCATTAATACCCTCACTGTAAGAACAATGCAAACGAAAGCACGTTTCTACGTTAAACATCGTCTTTTCATAGACTGAATTTTAAAAAAAATTGAACAGCTCATTTAGCTGTAACTCCTTCAACACTTTTGAAGCTTGATGTTAATAGAACCAGATTGCTAATACCAACCTTATGCGATAGACTATACATTAATTCGAGTTGTTGCTAACATGCTTCTGAAAAGCTCAGTAACTTTGGCATAGCATTCTTCTAAGCAATACAGCCCAATTTCAAATAAATTTAAAAGCTACCATTCTTCTCTTTTGCTGTTATGTGGAAAAGTCTTTGGGTATGCCAAAGAGCAACTGGAATAAATTCTCTGCACTTGCCACCATTGTCCTCCCCTCTTGACTTCCAAAGAATTTTCAAAGTGTTATTTTCAAAGACTTTCTAAGTATAGCAGTTGTGAGAAAAGAATTGCCCAAAACATAACCCACACATAACATTGCTGCCAATGTTTGCCAGATTTGCAACCAAAGCTGAAAACAACAGCAAGAAGGTGAATTCCCTCTCCTTGTGTAAAATTCAAAATGCGTGTCTTAACTATGCTGCCAAAGGATGGGAGAAAACATATGAACCATCGCTTTGAAAAAGCACCACAATCTCCTAAAGTTTGGGAATCCTAAAGAAAGCCAAAAAGGTGTCTAGTGGAGTCAGAATGTGTAAGTTAAATGGTGTCAGCTTTTAGTACTGTAGGCCTGCATTTATTCTTGTACTATGAGAATTCAGATAAAAGAAAATCTAGACCATATCACTCTCTCAAATTCTTCACAGGTATGGCATAAAGAGTGTAAGTAAATCATGTCTGGTCAAATTCAAATATTTATGAGAAAAAGAATTTAAAATATGCATCATCCTGATTTATTCTAGAAGGGCAGTGAGAAACTTGTTAGAATATTTAGATATCCAGTAAAACTTTTCAAAGTGTGGATATCATCTCAATGGCAATGTGGAACTGACCTCTTTCTATCTTAAAGTAATACATCTTCTCTACGGATACTGAAATGTATTTTATCTTGCCTCACCATTTTGTGCAAAATCATTTCTCCCATGTCAAGTTCTTATACATTTCTGAAATTATTTTTGGAAAATAACTTAGTATTTCAGTTACTTTGGAATTAATTTTTTAAGCCTTTATTACTATGTTCCCACTACCTCTAAAATTCTTCTCTTCCCCAGATGCATTTGTAAAAGTCCTTCTAGCTTCTATTCAAGAAGCATGTGGTTAATTTTCCCTTTTTTTGAGTGTTGAAATCTCTCAGTGAAGTTTTAATTCACTTTGCCTGCTCATGATTCTACTCTTAATACCAAATCTTTAAAAAACACCTTATGAGAAAGTTTCAGGTTTTGTGCTTTGATTTTTATCTAGCAAGACAGCATTGAGTTGCACAGACTAAAAATATAAGGAGGCTTCAGATGTCTTTCAAAAGCAAAGTTTCTTTCCATTATTTTTCCCCTACTGCTATTCTATTCCTTTTCATCATTAATCTGGTTCCTGGTATTTATATGTATGCTTAAATTTCAGTTTGTTGTCTCTGCAGTGGTTACTGTCACATAACCCAGCAGGACATACTTGTACTTATCTTTCAGGTTGGATTTACAAGCTGCTGTTCACTGTTTTCCAAGAGCTACTCTTCTGTACTATTCTGATACCTAAGATGCCCCAGAGAGAAGAGTTCAAACTACCTACACACTTCAGGGATCTTCAACGTGCAATTTTAGATACAGACCTGCATTTGGCAAAAAGATGACAGCTGTGCCACTGATATGGGCTCTTTTTTTTCTGATGACAAATGAAAAGTCAGCTATTCAAGATGAAATTCAAACAGCTGTATCAGAAATCACTATTTCTTCAAGTGGTTTTATACACAAGCATACACACACACATATATAAACACACAAATGTCTTTATTTTGTACATAGTAAAAACCAGGAGCAGTGGACAATAGCTACTTGCCAGCTGTTGCTATTTTCCTGCAGACAAGCAGTCCACAGGAGAATTATGCAACCGGCTCCCTATCTTTAGGAGATTCATGAAAGTTTCTGAATTTCCAGTATGCTTACAAAGCCCAGGTCAGATACTAGACTGTGTATTCTGTAACACCCATTGCTAGTAACAGCCATACCATAACAACAGAAGTGACCACAGGGAAGAGTTATCTCAGGTTACCGCTACTAGGCATTACAAAGCCAAATCTCATCACTGATTGGATCTTCTTCCCTTCTGTACACATAGCATGGAACTTGGGATTTGGGTGACACTAAGATGGATGGAGGGCTTCATTGAGGTAAAATAGAAACGGTTTCAGTAGATTGAAAAAAGCAAATGTATGCAAGACTGATGTCTGTACTTGCTCCTCAGCATCTTCATTTATACTATATGCCTAAAATTCAGGTGTCTCGCTAGAAAAAGCTTGGCTGCTGACAGCCAGCAAGATAATAAAAAACTACCATTTTGTCCTCTGTTTCTTCAGAACTGTTAAAGTGATTCTCTCAGAGAATGATGGTATGCTCAGCCATGTTTTTCTCCTCTTAAGCCTAAACCATAGCAAAAAACCTCAAGCTTGTGCAAATGCAAAATACAGGTGCTAAAAACAAATTCAAATTGTACTTTGTCACTAACATTCCAGAACTGCTTCAAGCTTTACAATCAACACCTGTTGGGTTTGGGAAGATTACTGTGAAAAAAGCCTATGTTTGTGCTGTGTTTCCCCCCCCCTTTTTTTCCCCGCGTGTGTTTTTTGCCCCTTTTTTTTTTTTTTCCAAGGGACTTTTTGGCTACCTCCCTCCTACACCCTGCTTCTTTTCCTTTTATTTCTCTTTTCTAAATATTCATTTTCTCCCTTTTCTTTTATGACAGCTGGCATCTTGAATATGAGCACTGAATAGCTTAATTGAGGGGGCAGGACTGTCAAGACTTCAGCAAAGATCTTCTTTACCCTAAATATTAGTTACTAAATTTTAAGAAATTATTCACACATAAATGCTATTCCAAAATCTAGCTTTACAGAAACTACAAGCCTCCCTGTCTTTAACTTTCAACATTCTTGGTCCTTATGAAGTTACAATTTCACCAGTTCCACCATTCTGCAACAGATGTTCAAGCCTGAATTAAATTCTTACTGTAAAAACGTCTCACTCAGATGTCAACAATAAATCCTGCTTGGGAGAAGAAAAAAACATGGTTCTTTGCCCCCCCTCCCCCTTTTTTTTTTTTTTCAAATTAACCCACTTGATTTTTTAAAAGTCCATTCCAAGGCAAATTATAAAAGGATTCAATGTGTGTTGATCCAGTAAGTTGATAATACTAAGAAGTGCTCAAGCTAGAAGCTCCTTTGGTAGGCTTAAGGAAAACAGACAGTGTTGCTACCAGAATATTCTCATGATGAGTAATTTGCTTTGGAATTCATTCCTCCACTTTCTTTAGGACAAACAAAATATATACGCTAAAAAGACCACTCATTCCTCAACCTAGGTATAATAGTGCTGCAATATGATATATACTTGCTTAAGGCTGCACTCTTTAAAGAAAATTACTACAGATGCTTCAAGCCTGGAATATTCCTGCATTTTGCAATATGTATATGAGAAATGTCACTAAGCTCAGTTATCATTTGACACGTCAATTAGTTCATTGTTCAGAAGAAGCAGCAAAGGCAAGGAGGCTTTCAAATACCTACTTGCCTCTATTTAAAACATTCATACTGGATCTCCAAATGGCAGCATGTGAGCACTAACTAGAGGTTCTAGAAAGGTAAAATGAAGTTTAACTTTGCTGCAGAAATGACTAAGTATTCTAATTCTAATATTTGGGTTGATGACCTATTTTTGTTATTTCTTATAGTAGGTTCTCTGAACAGCTTCTCTAGTCTAAATCAGCTGCCTCTGTAAATTCCTGTATTGTCTATGGCACATTTAAGAAAAAGGCTAATTGTTAATTAGATCATTATAAAGCTATGCCATAACAACATCAAGTAAAGTGTAATAAAATTAATGATATCTATAAAAGGATTCTTTGAAAAGCAGAATAGAAAATAATTTTGGCTTGATTCTCAGGAATGGAAAAGTCTTATAAAGGATTACTTACAAATCAACTACTGTTTTATGCTTGAAGAGGAAACGGATACAGTAAATGTTCAATTAAATCAAACTTACTTAATCATTTCAAAAAGCTTTGGATCTGAGACCTTGATATTTCGAGCCATGTTCCATGAAAGATGAACCATGGGCACTATGGACTTCACGCTCTGCAGTTTATTCCACTCGTACCGTTCCACGGCCAATTTATATTGACAGGCTACACAAAAACAAAATTACAGAAGCAATTAGTCAAGTTAAGAAATACGTTATCAATAGGATAAATCTAAAAGAATTTGATTATATTATAAATTTATACCTCTCAGGGCTAGATTAAATTTCATTCACAGTGACTCATTCATTCCAACCACACCTGAATTCTAGAAAACTTGTTTTAAGAAGTGTATTTATGATGCCAAAAACCTGCACAATATCACAGCAGTGGCAACAAATATCTGTGAAAAAAAGTTCCTGACAAGTGTTCAATTTCTATGGTGAACAGAGAACAGTATTTCAAAAAGGGTTACTTAATAAATTTCCAAACATTTTAGATTTGAAAAAACCAAAACAAAACAAACCCTTCATTTGAAACATCTACATCTCACTCTACTCACTCTTTATCATGATTTTACAACGCTATGGTACATAATTTGTCTTAAAAAGGAAGACTGCACCTTGAGAGATGTGTTGCAATGAGTAAAGACTTTTTTCACTAAGCAGCCTACTCAACCCAGCTTTTCGATTTAGAAAATTTACTGCGACTGAGCATGTGAGCTCTGTATCAGTCAGTCATACAACCCCGTTTTTATACTATTTATTGCACCATAATGAAATAAAGGCACAATTTAAATTATTTAAGAAAACGTGAGTTTTTCGGAAGTACATCCTCTTCAAAAGGTGGACAGAATCTCATTTTAGCTGTGAAATTTCCTTTCATTCTCACATCTAAAAATCTTTCAAGGCCATAGTTCAAAACTAAAGACTTCTAGAGCACCAGGTCTGGAAAACTGAATATTCCTTTATGAATAAAATTTTACAACTGTTTTCATTTCCTGACGCTCCCGCTAAAGAACAGCTAGGTGTCTGTCGTCCCACAAAAGCCAGACTGGACAAACAACTCCTTCAACTCACATGCAAGCTATAGTACAGTCTGCTGGACAGAACGAAGTTTGGGAAAAAAAGTTAAGAAATGCCCTATAAGACAGTATATGAATCAATGAAAACATTTTATTCTGCAACAAAACAATAATTTTTTACAAGGCCGTTAAAGGAATGAATACAGAGACCGCTGCTCTCTTTTTCTTAACAGTGGAATTACTTGAAGCTTCAACACATTTTGTTTTAAAATATAGTATGTTCTTTTTTTTCAATCTAGTAAAGCATGGTAAATTGGTAAGAAATGGCAGGTTCTGTGGCATATGTAATACTTAAAATACCTAATTCAGCATAGGCACTATTCAACCATACCTGTAAGAGGGCCAACATTCCACGCAATGTTGTTGCACCAACCAATAGCCTGAACCCAATGAACAGTGCCAGCATTTATCCACACTAAATCCCCTGGTCTTTGAATAAATCTATAAACTGGGACGTTGGCTTCATACAAATCTTCCAAGTTTGGCCACCAAGATCCCATTAAGAAATTCATATTATTCCTGAAACAACAGCACAAATAAACTCTTCAGCATTTATCAGCAGACATATTAGCAGTTGATATTTCAATGAAACCACCTGTAAAAACTCATCACCACAATAAATGCACGTAATCAGCGACCCACGAGGTCTAATTAAAAGTCAAGTTTCATCTATAAAAATTCCTGATCCTCCTAATTCCACATTTCACCTCCTGCAATACATTAAAACACTTAAATTTCCAGCTGTCCATGTGAAGTCACTTTATGGCTTTCAGTTATGTTTTCTTTCCCTTTAAGTTTCCCAGCATTTTATTAATGCTGAGGCATAGAAATCCTTGGTCAGCTCTTGTGTAACACTGGTGTGGAATGCTCCCTTTTTAACCAGTGACTGATTCGATACATAGACCATACCAGCTCTTAAGAATGCTTTGTGTTTTGAATAAAGCCAATCATGTTCTCATACTGTCAATGTATGCATGTGAAGACAGTCCACACAACAAGCAACCTTTTGGCACCATCTCAACTGTGATCCACAAGACTGTGTTATGTTCAGCCAAGAACTTTCAACCCTCCTGAGAAGCACAAGAAACCACCTCCTTATGGATTTCCTCTGCACGAACTCTTCCACTATGGTTGTGCAAAACACATACTTCTCTCCCATCCTTGTCCCATTTTTATACTGTTTTTATATTGCACCATGAGACATCAGTCATGATTCACAGTTTTCAAAGACAATTCAGTGCTTCTATCAGGCACTCCAGACATTTTATGACATTACAAAGATCTTTAGTTTCTCTGTCACCCTCAGGAGGACAGTGTCATGGTGTAAAAGGCATGTCATCATCAGAGACATTGCAGTTGTATCAGTTGAAATGCAGTTTTGAGATGGCTAATCTCTGTAAAGTTAGATTAAATAAGAACAATTATCAATTAATAGGCAGAAAATACAGAGTACAGAGACACTGAGATTAATCTGCAGGGCTCTGAAGCAGCTCTGCAGAAAAGTCAAGAGCTCAGTCCAGTTTTAACTATGCAAGATAAGGAAAAGAAAAAATATCTCCTGCAACATCAGCATCAGAGGCTACTGCCTGAATACTAGCATGATTAGGGAAAACAACGCTCTTTTTTTTTTTGGTGGGGTAGTGGTGCATGGGCACATGTGTGTGTGTTGTTTGTTTTTAAAGCATCCACTGAACACAAGGCACAACACAGAAACCCCTGTGCTAGAGCTGCCTGTTTCCCCCAAAGTCAAGTAAGTATGCCTCAACTTTTCCAGCAAGCTACAAACATGTAAGTGTACGCAAAGCAAGCCATGACACTTCCTGGGGTCTGAGTAACCTAAACTCTTTCTCTAGATGCAGCAAGAAATCATCCCAAAACACTAATGACTCTGTACTCGCTCGTGTATAACATGTACATGAATCATAACAAAGATTAACAGCATGCATCACACTAGAACAATACTTTACTCCCTCACTTAGAATAAAAACCCCAAACCAAAAGCCCAGCTCCTTCACCTCAACTTTTCTCTGTTGCTCCACTGCAATAGCCCTATAAGCCATTACGAACACATCACCGTTTGGTACTAGCAGAGGTCAGATTCAGCATGCATGACAGAGGGCCTACATAAACAGCAAGCACTGGGATGGGTTTTCTGGTGTGCAAATGTTACTGTTACCAAAACTGGACTGACACCACACGATAACACACTGGCTGCCGACAGCCTGTGCTTATACTGAACTTCTGATCCCCCTTAACGTACTACAAATTTGAATCTTGACCCCAGATGAGCATTCGCTACTACCCCTCTCTCACTTCTTGCATTTCCTTCATTGCTGTGTTCAAAAAAAAAACCAAATAATAGACCGAATGTTAATTTTTGAAAGCAAAGCTATCACAGGCAATCCAAGTTTCTGTACATTGTACAAATGTAATATTTGGTATGAATTCTACATTTTGAGTTTTGACTTTTTGAAAAGACTTTTCTGACTACACGGAAGATCTATAAAATAACGTCCTCTTACAACACCCTCAGTAATTTGCCCCCTTAGGTCTTAGAAAGGCACAGAGAACTTGACAAAATTAAGAGAAAAATAGCATGCTCAGCTTACTTTTCACAGAAGTCATTCATGACTCCCCAGTAGCTTTCAGGGACAACAAACCATTCACAGTCACCTGGACCAATATTTATATTTACTGAACAAAAGTTGTTATTTTCTTGATGACCTGAAATTTAGAGAAAAAACAAACACACTTTATTTAAGGCTGATCTATCAAAATAATGCTACGAAAATGCAAAGTGATAATTACTAAAACCCCCTACATCATAGATTAAGTATTTGTATATAATTTTATATGACACACACACTATTTGGGTACTTAACAGTGGTAAGAAATGTAGTTAAGCTACCAGTGACAAGAGAATTCTGCTTCTGCTAGTTTGTGGAAAATTAAAAGCTGGAGCTACAAATCTTGCAAATCTGACCAATATTTCAGGAGTTCCCTTTTTGTAGAGATAAATGCTTCAAGATGCTAAAGCTTAAATTTTGTGTATTATGCTAGCTCTTGACAGTCCCAGTCAGGAGCAAAACTTTATGACTTCAGGCACTGAATAGACAAGTAGTAAGAAAACTTGTCCCAAAGAGCTTTCCAAATCAATGCAGAAATGCCAGTATTTTATCTTCTTTTGACAGCTGGAAAACTGAGCCGTAATCCCTAATGGAACTTGCTAAAGTTGTACTTCAGAAAAAACAGATCCTGAAACTTAGTCCAGGTCCCTCAAGTCTCAGTCCAGTCCTCTAACACAGCACTATTCATTGCAGAGGGTTGAGTCCAACCCTCAGACAACAAAGAATCTAAAATTTAAAGTTACACTGATTTCTATGACTGCATAACACCTTCTTGGGCAGCCCACAGAAACTGTCATGGCATATAAAATACAAATCCTGTCCAAGTATATAAACTCATTCTCTTTTCTCCCTTAAACAATCCATTATGTCATGCAAAAGGCTAGTAAGGTAATTACCTAGCACTGCAGAAATCCAGAAATTTCCATTATAAGGTAATTTAGTACTTTGCACACACAGAGTTCAGTTAAAGTAGAAATTAAAAAAATACTGAATATGTGTAATTTTATCAGGCTTAGGCATGCTGTAAGATATGGAAAATCTGCAGTGCAGTTAAATCAACATCACAGTAGTAGAATCTGATTTTCTTTCCTGTAAAGAGAAGTACTCACCTGGTGTTCTGCTTCCTGGAACCTTCATGTACAGCTGCACTGTGTTCATGCCCAGGATGGTATGACCAACATTCTGCTGATACCACACGTACAAAAGCAGGAAGTTTTGTCAGTTCATGGAGTTGCAACTTCCACCTGCAGCAAAATAGCAAATTGACAAACTGTGAATCCCTAGAACTCTTACAAGAATTCGGGAAATAAAAACATTTTCAAAAAATTGTTAGTATAGGAGATAAAGGAGCAGGCAACCTACTGCTGTATTACCTAGCATCTCCGAGGAGTTAAGTTGAGACAATGCAATACCCTTAGTTGATAGTTACAGAAATTTAAACAACAATTGCATTTAATGGTGAGCTAAAAAGCAAGGTGACTGGACTCACTCTTGCAGTCAGCTAATCTGCTGCTATACTGCCAGAAAATTCTGCTTTGTGATTTACACCCCAGTGTATGTCTTTTCCAAGTGAAAACAGAGCTGAAATAGAGTTGTGTTCTCCTCACACTCTAAGCAAGCCAGTCAGAAACTGTTAACTGTGCTTTCAAGAGCCAAACAATATGATGCTACAACATACGTCAAGAAGACTGTCTAAACATATCCTAGCCTGTGCACACAATTGCTGTGATCCAGAATAATGTTAATGACATGAAGGTGCTATGGAACTGAACACCCGCATTAAGAAAAACACAGATCTTCAAACACAAAAATCCCAGAAGCCTGCTGGAGCTCTGTAATGTCACCTAGGTATCCATGTTACTCTTTCAAGTTTAAAGTATTTCCAAATATAATGAGAAATATGACAGACTAGTTGAGGGGAAAGATAGTTGTGAAGGAAAATCTAAGACGGCAGATCAGCAGACCTGGCATCTTCCAGGGAATCCTAGAAGAAATATTCAAAGCATCAAAATCCAATTCCTTATGAGCCTCAGGTTAGTTATACTTAGGTTAAAGAAATATAACTTTCAGTGACTACACCAAAAAAAGACCATAGCACCTTAAGTGGGTCTTATTCCCCAATTTCAAACACCATAAGCTTTTCTTCTTTTTTTTTAAATTTTGTACTGCAGCTGGCAGAACTGACAGCCTAGATGTGATGGATCTCTTATGAAATATAGACTAAGTAGAGATTGAAGCAAATAAGTTATTACTGGACAATAAACCCATGCATTCAGAGTATTTCTAATACTTTCTGATGGTTTTGTGAGCTACCTTCATCTACTCACAGAATCATACACACAGTCTAAGGAATACTCAATTTTTGCCTTATTTTTTTAGGCTCTGGAAGAGGTATCATGGCCTATCCACCTGTAAGCATTGATCTGGTCTTTACCATGTATTTTGAAATCTGTTTCTGGGTAGAGGAACAAGAGCTATGAAAAAGTGGGAACAGAAAATATGACACTAGGAACAAGAGGAAACAAAACCCAAATAACAAAAATCCAGACAAACAAAAAAGAAAAAAAGCCCTTTAATCTTACAGTTTCTGTGGAAAGACTGAAAATGTATTGTCAGAAAGAACTGAAATTGTACACAAACAATTTAAAGCCCTAGAATTAAACAAAGGTAATATATTAGAAGGATGACTAGAAAGAACAGTTTCTGATGGATTTTAAAGTTCACTTCTGGAAAAATAAAGATTCTGGAAAGAAAAGTTTGAGAAGAGATTTTAGCATGTCAAGGACTCATAATGATAGTTTAAAGACTCATTGTGGAAATGGGGTGTGCAGCTGGAACTGGGTTTATCAACAGACTGACTGATGTCTGAGAAGAATGCATTGGTTTTCCAGGAGTATCGTACTGTAGGTTATCACTCTGAGCAGGGGAAACTGTAATCAACTTACTTTTTGTCATCTGACAGGTCAATGTTGGTCCCAAACTTGATTGTTTTAAAAGGTCCTCTTCTCCTCCTCCCAGAGCTGCAAATATAAAGAAATATATACAGGTGAATGTGAAAATGGGAATGCTGTGAAAAAACACACGTAAAACCAGCTATAGAATTATCACAGTTATACCACTTACTTATCAGAAGATGTGGATTCATTATCTGAGTGGTCCTTGTGGTGACTCTTCTTCTCATTTTCCTCCTATAAAATGAAATTGTGGAAACACTTTAAATATATTATTTATACTTATTATTATTAGATATTTATTATATATATTTTATATTATACATTACATATACATTAAAGCAAGAATACATATACAACATATAGGTATAAAGTAATAACGTTCACAGAGGTAAGTGTATTTCTTTCAAGACGCTGGTACAATCTTTAAAATATCTGTATCTAAGACTTTATGTCAATATTACTGTTAGTAAAATGAAAAAAGAAAAGTTACCAGGAAAAAGTCATTGCAAAGAATTCTTCAGGACTACAAATGCAGTTAATCTCAGACTAGAAAACAACAGAAAATATTTGTACTGTCAACATTTCTGCTAGCCTACATTTTTGTTGCCAATAAGAATGTTGGTTTGCTTTATTACGCAGGTGAATTGGTAGCCAATCCTAAGGAATACTGTTAACTTCTTGAGACTAGAACACTTACCTTCCTTCAAAGTCAAGCAGGTATCCTCATATGAGCCTAGGATGACTAATATTTATAAAATTGATTTTATAAAATCTGTTATATAAAATCTTTTGAAATCATCATAGCTGTATGCTATTTTAGCACTGCAGTAAGTAGGACCGTGACTAGTGGAAAAAAAAATTAACCAATATTAAATGATGTGATTTGATCATTTAAACAGAGTGTGCTCAAAGAACTACTTCTAAAGACTTTTTTTTTTGGCAAGAAGGACATAGAAAGAAAAAGAGTAAGACAAAAAGGAGGAAAGAACTGCCTGGAAGCTATCCAAGGATCTCTGACTTTGAATGGGATTGTTGTTAAATCTCAAAGTGCCCTGTGTACCTGAGAAAGTCTTATTCATCCTTTGAATGAAGGACAAAGAGAAACAAAAAGGAGCCTTGTGATGATGGATTGATGGATTTATCAACTACTGCAAGACACCTTAGAAAAAAGCAATGTAATAGTTGTTAGAAGAAGAAGAATAAAAAAAGATCACTTAGGGCAAGCCAAAAGTAGAAAGTAGAATGCTTTCATCTGAACACTGTGAGAAGTCACCTAAGGACAGGTCAAAGCAGTGTTAGGCAAAAGACACATGTACATAGTCTCTCTGATTTCCAAGGGAAAATTGAAAAACATAATTCTGAGCATTTTTTTATATATTGCATCTTTACCAACAACCTATAACAGAGGAAAAATCAAACAAACCCCCAGAAAATCTTGTAGTTCTTGGTGCAAACCCAAAGCTGAGACTTTCCTGCTG